CATTGACACTAAAATATAATTATCGAAAATATCTAAGTCTCATAAATTAATAACAACTACCAAGTATCCTTCTTCTGTTTTCCTTCTATAAAACAGATCTTCACTCAAGTTCTCAAATTATAATCTTTATGAGTTTTGATCTTGAATAGAAGTGCTGCACCTAAGTTTATTTATTGATTATAGCTGATTTAAAAGCAATAATAGCCAAAAAATGCTTGTAATTCTATGTTATATTTTTTCAATCTACAATTATGCATAATTGAATTCTTATGTCATTTATAATTCAGCTTGTATTTTATTGGCATCAACCTTGCAGATACTTTATAAGATAACTAAAGTCATACTAATTTTTCCTTATAATTTTTATTCAAGTCTTAAACTGCAGCTTAAATTGCTCAGTTTTGTTACTTGATTTAATTTTGATAATGAAGATTACAAAGGTGTCATCCAGTCGCTCCTCCTTGCAATTAAAGATATTTAATGTCAAATATTCAGCATGTGTAACTATCTTGACAATAGTAAGGTTACTGTCACTTAAATGCAAAAACGCTTCATGATACTTGTATCATGCTCTTCTTTCGGCAATACTTGTTAGTATGATCTTTTGCCTGATCTTGCCTAACGACACGCTTGTACTTGAAGCATGCCTAACTAAACTCTGATAGTTTTGAACTACCCTTATGAAATTTAGCATAAGAGTATCAATATCATACTCACTTTATGCATAAAACTCTGATGAAATAGCAGAACAGTTGACCAAATAGAAATTAAAATTCTTCTTGCTGCTAAATTATTTCTCAAACATGTAAAAAGTGTTAACCATTTTTTTGTTATTAAATTCACCGATTCATGCTTTTTTTATGATTACTTGGCAGTTGCATTAGTATTGTTGAGAATATTTTAATGAAAATTATAAATTCGGTAGGTTAGGGCTATGCTTTAGGCAAATATCACTACATTTAATTATTGAGTTGCTGAGATTATGTTTTTCACTTGCACCTATTGTTGTATTTACTTTCAGTAACGACAATAGTAACAACCAAGCATTTAATACTCTTAAGAAAAGAATAATACACATATTGCATTCATGCCATGTTATAACAATAATTGCATCATACTCAAAGTTTTTGCAATCNAAAAATATAACATCCATAATACATTATTTCTTATTTTATTTAAATTAAGTCTTTTCTTTGATTAATATACTATAACCATCTAATTGTGTATAAATATTATATCATTTTGTGTTGGACAATCTCTTTGCAAGATGCATGACAGTCTGAAGGCCGTTCTTAAAAAATTAGGACTATTCTAAAATTAATTGATATTTATAATTTAATTAATTTGAAGATTGTTAAAATTATTTGATTTATAAAAATTTAAATTACTTTACTTCTTTGTAGAAACATTTTTTGTGTAAAATTTGATTCTTTTTGTAGTCAAATCTTATTCATTAAGTATCAGAATTTCAATATTTCTAACTTGAACCGCGTTACTTAATTGCATAAATCTACTCTAGAGACCAAATAGATCACAGAGATCATCCTCCATTTCACTTTGATAACTCTTAAACAAGAACATATTGATTGGGCATTGTAAATTCATTGAGTTTGAATTGTAGATGTTTGAAATAGTAAATAATATGATATTAATAGTTTGAAAATATATTCAATAAATTAATATCTCAACAAAAATACTCATAAAGTACCTTTAATAAGTGAATATTTTTAGTTATAAGAGCCTACTGAATAGCGGTATAGATAATAAAGAGTTTAACACGTAGATAGTTTAAAAATCTCCATGACTTTTCTTTGAAATTCATTTCAAATAATTATACAATATGAACACATCATAACTTATCAATATATTTTAAATTCTTAGAATACTATATTTTGTAGTTTAGAAGAAATAAAGTATTGTGTTAATTTTTATATAAAATATACTTAAAAACAATATTCTCCATTTTATAAACTAAATAAGATTCTCTCTATAAAAAAGAATAATTGTTGTGACCAATAGGTCTTTCTTAGAAAATTGTTTTTTACAATTAGAAATCCTAATGAAATAGTGATTTCAAATTAAATTAGTGCATTTCATAGATATTTTTTGTATATCAATTTTGTATAATCAAATAAATATTTCCAATATTAATTTAGATGAAATCAAGTGTTTCAACTCCTTGATATATTTGCTATTGTGATATCATGAATCTGGATATAAATAAAGATATCCCCATCATAAACTCATTAATGATAAAAATCTTAATTGCCTTATACCTAAACTCAAACTGCAATAGATTAATAAATCAAGTAAGGAATATCATCAAAATTAATTGAAATTGATTCACACAAGAATTTCTTATGTATCTATTCTTTATTATTATTTTATTAATTATTTTCTTTGTATTAAATTTAGTGCTAATTTTTGAATTACTTAAACTAACCATGCAATTTAGAACTAATTATTAATAATTTTTTGTATAATGTCAGAAAAGAATCCTATTTCAATTAAATTAATTGTTCTTGGTGATGCCAATGTTGGAAAAGTTGACATACTTTTGAGGTATTTACTTAAGCAAGTCTAGTTATATAAAAAGATTAGATTTCTCAAGATTTCATTCCTAAGGTCTTTGAAAATTACACGATTACAACAGTTGTTGATGGGAAAAAGATTAATTTAAGTTTATGGGATACTGCTGGATAAGAAACATATAATAGGCTAAGAATATTAAGTTACGGTTAAGCTGATGTCTTTTTGATAGTCTTCTCTATTATTGATGAATAGAGTTTCTAAAATGCAGTCACTAAATGGTATTAAGTGTAGAAGTTCCTGAATTAAAAAATGTACCAAAAATTTTTTTTGGAAATAACAAAGATTAAAGAAATTTGTCAAATCCAAGCCATGTCTAATATGAAGCAGTATATTAAATTTAATCAATTATTTGGCAAAATCTAAAATTGATTAATTGTAATGTTAATATCTGGAATGTTCATCATAAACATAAGAAGGTTTAAAAGAGGTCTTTGACTAAGCGATAAAAAAAGTCCTTTAAGTTAAAGGTTAAAAATCAGAAAATACTTCAAGTAAAAATCAAAAAGGATCAAATCAGGAAAAAGAAAAATGCTTAATTTTTTGATTAAATATACGCAATAAATGATAAAAATATCACAGTTTCATATATTCATATTTAATTATCAAACACTTCCATTATGAATTATAAATTTAAAAGACTACATAATTATTTTATTTAGAAAGAAAGAAATAGATTTATCTATTTATGGCTATAAAAAGTATAATTAAATTCATATAATTGGGAGAAATAAATAAATGAAAAAATTGAAAATAAATTATTGAAACTTGAAGTTTATAGATAAATAGAGATTATTATTAATAAGTTGAATGTTGCAGAAGAATTTATGTCGGATGGATTATAAGGTTTTATAACTTCAGGTATTTGAAAAAGTGTTGAATGGTAAATATTAACATGAAATAATTATTATCAGGGAAGATTAATTTATACCTCAGATTAAGGATTTTTTTTAATTTCCTTACACCTCCACATCTATGACTATATCCATTGGTACTCCAATTTTTGCTACAGTTTCTGAAAACACCCCATATATTGGTATTAGATACTTCGAAGTATTTTCATATTATGAGAATAAAATAATAATAGATGAGAGTCTTCTCCATTAAGACGATTATATCCTTGAATTTGAAGAGATTTTTTCTTCATAGTAAAATTGTGTAGTAGGATGTAGAAATTGTATTCGAGATTTGTGTGTAGAATGTTTTTCAGGATGAAATTTTGATACTAATTCTTAAGAATGTATACCAATCTGTGGAGATCAATTGATTTTATACTTAGAAATATGTGATGTAAACATGGAGCCATATGATGGATGATACTAGTGTAAATTCTCTTGTCCACTAAATTGTGCTCTTACAAATATGACTAATGTATCTTCTGTGACAATAAGTATCAATTAATAGATTTATAATTCCGTTTTTCTCTCTAATTTGAGGATGAGAATAGGTTAATTAAATATGATATTTAAATCAACGAGGGACAATGTTTGACAAACGCAAATCTTTAGAATGTCATTCTCAACAAAAACTTTAAATTAGAAGCTCATGGTATTTAATGTTAAATTTAGAGTTATGGCATTTTTGCTTATTAATATAATTAATATGAATATAGGGAGCCAGAAAATTGTTTCATCTACTGGCAATATGCAAAATTTTTTTGGCATTGAGTTCTTTAAATTTAATAATATTTCTTGCCATGACTTAAATTGTATTTGAAGAATCAAGCTTGGTTATCTTTATGATTCAGAAATCATGAAAATTTTTTCGATTTAAACTAATAAAATTTTAGACAACTCAGTAGGAATTATTTATAAGGGTGTATGAAAAAATAATTTGAAATTCTAAACAAGAATCCTAGAATGTAATATTTCAACAACAAAATTCTTGTTAATTACTATCTATAATTAAAAAATCTTTCAGTAAATTTAAAGTTCACATATCTTTTTTGTCACAAGAATTTAGATGATTTAAATAAAAATGCAGACTAAAGGGTTTTTCAAGGTATAAGTTATATTATTTACAAAGAAGGTTGACTAAGTTCTTCAAATTCTTCTTTAAGGCATACACAATTTGCATATAATATACTGCATTATCAAATTTAATCCTAATCTGTATATTAGTTAGTAGGTAGGTAGTTATGAGAGGAAAATTCTAAAACTCATTTCTTTTTTGTAATTTCTATTTTTGGCAAACAAAACTCAAGAGCTTTTATTAAAAGAATAATGAGATTATTACTGAACTGAAAAATCAAAATACATTTCAATATCAAAATAAACCTTTTTCCAAAAAGGAATATAAGGTGATTTTTAGATTGGATTAGGTATAATTTCAAGTTTTAAATGATTTATTTCCGATTTATATATGGAATATTAATGTAAAATATTTTTTTTGAATTGGTTTTTGAAATTAGTAATTTTTAATCAGAATTGGATGAGAAAATTCTAATAAAATGAAGCGATTTAAACTTGAGTGAAAAGTACAAAAAAATTACCAAAATTTTTAATGAAGGAATTCAAAATAAAAAGAAGATCTAATTATTTGAAGATTTGCTGCATCCCCTGAATATGCGTACTTCTATATATGGAATATGGCCTTCAAAGTGGATGGATTGAAAAGATTGATAAGATTTTGTGGATGATACAACAACGATTCTCTAAGAAGACCTAAATGAGCCTTAAGGGAAGATGAAATTGCCTCCAAAGCATCAACGAATTGATTGCAATACACACCTAAAGAATGACAAATGATAAATGTTAATTCATGATAATTTATTATTATTTTTTTTGAATAAAAATCAAATGATATTATAATTAATATAACTCCAAAATCAGCATAGCATATGATATGATAATCCAAATGTAAGTTCAAATAATTTAATTGAAAATAGAACTAAATGAAAATACAATGAAAATATAAATAATACATTAAGCGAGAACAAAAAATTATGAAAAGGCTCATCAAGTACTTTGCTGTTTTTATATAGCAAAGCCATCAATTCTAAAAGTATTATATCGAATACGTAGATTTTGGGTAAAGATTTAGGGTACTCAAGTTTAAGATTTTGATGTAAAACAGAAATAACAATCATATAATTGCTTCAATTGAAAACAACTTGGTGACTCTAGTATTGATCATCCTATCATCAGTCATGGATCCGAGATGCAAGGCAGTACTAATACACACACAGTAAAGGACTTTTGGAAGAATGAAATCATGAGATAGCTTTAGGGATTGCATGAGATTACACAGCTCTCCTTTGCTACAAATGCGGTAGCCTTCACGCTTAAACAATTCTCTGAATTATTGGCAGGCGTGCTAGTTATTTATGTTAAGTTACCATTTTCCCAAATATGGNATCTTTATGATTCAGAAATCATGAATTTTTTCGATTTAAACTAATAAAATTTTAGACAACTCAGTAGGAATTATTTATAAGGGTGAATGAAAAAATAATTTGAAATTCTAAACAAGAATCCTAGAATGTAAGATTTCAACAACAAAAATTCTTGTTAATTACTATCTATAATTAAAAAACTTTCAGTAAATTTAAAGTTCACATATCTTTTTTTTCACAAGAATTTAGATGATTTAAATAAAAATGCAGACTAAAGGGTTTTTCAGTTTTTCAAGGTATAAGCTATATTATTTACAAAGAAGGTTGACTAAGTTTTTCAAATTGTTCTTTAAGGCATACCCAATTTGCATATAATATTCTGCATTTTCTAATTTAATCCTAATCTATATATTAGTTAGTAGGTAGGTAGTTATGTCTTAATTATCAATATATACGATGATAGTTATAAATTTTATTATACTATGTTAATTGATTATAAAATAACTCTTTATTTTTACCTTATGAAAAGTAATCCTAGGTTTTTATTTTCAACTTTTTCTAAAGATATTGTAAATGTTTAATCTCATGAATCAGTCGCTCTTCATAGAGGAAAATTCTAAAACTCATTTCTTTTTTGTAACTTCTATTTTTGGCAAACAAAACTCAAGACCTTTTATTAAAATAATAATGAGATTATGACTGAACTGAAAAATCAAAATACATTTCAATATCAAAATAAACCTTTTTCCAAAAAGGAATATAAGGTGATTTTTAGATTGGATTAGGTATTATTTCAAGTTTTAAATGATTTATTTCCAATTTATATAGGGAATATTAATGTAAAATATTTTTTTTTGAATTGGTTTTTGAAATTAGTAATTTTTAATCAGAATTGGATGAGAAAATTCTAATAAAATGAAGCGATTTAAACTTGATTGAAAGGAACAAAAAAATTACCAAAATTTTTAATGAAGGAATTCAAAATCAAAAGAAGATTTAATTATTTAAAGTTTTGCTGCATCCCTGAATATGCGTACTTCAATATATGGAGTCTGGCCTTCAAGGTGGATGGATAAAAAATATTGATAAGATTTTGTGGATGATACAACAACAATTCTGTAATAAGACCTAAATGAGCCTTAAGGGAAGATGAAATTGCTCTCCAAAAGCATCAACGAATTGATTGCAACACACACCTAAAGAATCACAAATGATAAATGATAATTTATGATAATTTATTATTATTATTTTTGAATAAAAATCAAATGATATTATAATTAATATAACTCCAAAATCAGCATATGATATGATAATCCAAATGTAAGTTCAAATAATTTAATTGAAAATAGATCTAAATGAAAATACAATGAAAATATAAATAATACATTAAGCGAGAACAAAAAATTATGAAAGGCTCATCAAGCACTTCGCTGTTTTTATATAGAAAGCCATCAATTCTAAAAGTATTATATCGAATAGGTAGATTTTGGGTAAAGATTTAGGGTACTGTTCAAGTTTAAGATTTTGATGTAAAACAGAAATAACAATCATATAAGTGCTTCAATTGAAAACAACTTGGTGACTCTAGTATTGATCATCCTATCATCAGTCATGGATCTGAGATGTAAGGCAGTACTAATACACACACAGTAAAGGACTTTTGGAAGAATGAAATCATGAGATAGCTTTAGAGATTGCATGAGATTACACAGCTCTCCTTTGCTACAAATGCGGTAGCCTTCACGCTTAAACAATTCTCTGAATTAATGGCAGAAGTGCTAGTTATTTATGCTAAGTTACCATTTTCCCTTATATGGATATATGACATTTGTGGTGATGAATGCTTCTGATTGATTAGAGTTCCCATTGTGAAATTACTGCAGCTGCATTCGCTAGTAAATATCATTGCTAATGACATTATGCTATTTCATTGAAGCTCATCAAATGATTTTCTTATCGATATCCCACCTATTCATTGATAGAAAGGTTTTAGAGCTCTCTTTCTTTTATCCATCCATTACACTACTAATGAAGCTACCTACTTTCTCATAGCTATTATTTTCCTTGCTCAACAGAGCATATTACCAATCTGTAGATTTGATCCATGAACTGAGCAATTCTATCTGTTCATGATTTAAAATATAAACATAAATTATCAATCATCTTTCCATTCTCATCAACGGTTACAAATTCAAAAAAAACTCTAGTTCACTTCATCCTCATAAAGTTTGTTGGACATCCCAAGCCACTTGTGACTAAGAACTATAATTGAACCTACTAATCTTCTTGTCCATCTCTTCATTTATTACAAGGATCTTCAAAAAGTTAATATAATTTTATGAATGACCTCCAAACATTTACACGCCATTACTGATGTTAAGTGGTTGGGATCTTCTTGTCAAATTAGTACAGATTCAACTCATTTACCACTAAGTCATTCTACTTGTTTAATTTTTACTCAAGATTATAGAAGAATGAGTCTGGAAAACAATATATCAATTTCTATTTATCATTAAAATTGTAAGCTTTAAAACCATCCAAATCAAATGCAAAATTTTGATCCAGAATTATAATTAGGTTTGAACATTTTGCATCATTCAAATACTAACCTGGTATGATTCAACATGTAATATAATTTCACTCAGAGCCATGAATTGGGCAATCCTACAAAGTAACTCGACCAAACCCTAGCCTTTTTTCGAATCTAGTTCTTTGAGATATAGGAGATATAGCTGAGAGTCAAGGAATGAGGAGAGGAATCCAAAATCTTAATGTCTTCATTAGAGCTTTCAGCAGCTTCACTGAATGTAGTCATAATGTTGCTGATTCAAAATTAATGCCATGTCACAATGTCACACATATTAAGGTCCCTTTAAGTTTTATTACTGATTGCAATAGGAGGAAAACTTATTTAGATTGTTTTTCTGCTTTATTTAATAATGAGAAGTTAAGAATTAAATTAATTTTCAAGCATGACTGATTTCAAAACTATGCAACTTGTGTCGAATGTTAAATACCATCAAAACTAAAGGTAACTAAGTAGCAATTTATGTTTTAGGATAGTTTTATCATATCTTCAATGATGAATTGTCCTTATGTATTATATGTTCAACTTTTTGATTACATTTGCTTTGATAACTGATATGATCCCTCTAGAAACACACACTTATACATACTTAATGTGCCGTAGAACACCAATACTATATTTAATCTTAATTTTTCTGACAAAGTATTCCTTACAGATATGTCTCCGAATTATTGCATAAATGATTGCACTATTGTGCTCTTATTATTTTGGAACGAAGGAATTCCGAATGAAACGTATGTTATAATGCAATATGCTAAATTTATCAAGACAGCTTCTCTTATTCATCAGGAAAATAGAAAGTTTAACTTAAAACCTCAACTGTCGCATGTGCATACAGCAGCATAAAACAAGATTAACAAGCCTAAAACGAGGTTTATCTTAAGTACAGTCTTATATTATGTCATCACTTACAGAATGGATCGCAATTTGTTAAACATATCTTTTCATGGTACAAACAATATGTAAGGTAGAAACTCTAGCTATTCATATACAATACTTACATGAAAATGCTCATTTATCACAGATGAATGAAGACTTGCTATCATAAAATACACTGTAGATTTAACACAAATTTGATGCATCATGTAGCAATTAAGCACAATCAGCAGTTTACATACTTATCAGAATACTTAGTTAGTTTAATGTATTGCTCTTAGAATAATATTAGAAGGGCAACACCCATAATCATTCTCGCTGTTAATAAATTTGGAATCAGCCTGTAAAATGAGCGATTATGATCAAAAGTAAACACGAAAACTAGTTAAATAAAATAAGTTTCATTATTTTATCAATCTCTGAATAAATAAATTCAAATTTAGGAACTTCTTCATGATGATCCTGATCTGAATAGTCAATAATAGAAAGGGTAATAATTACATTACTCCTATTTGGAGACATGCTTTCCAAACTTTATATTACAGATTAAGAAGCAAAATCAAGTAGGGGGATCAGTTCTATCAAAGTAATTGATTATTAGAAGCAATCTAGATTTTTGTTTAAGCCTAATTCAAATTGGCTAGTTTCAGACTTCGATTCTAATCCGACTTTTTAAGTGCAATGGAAATTTTAATTATGATTGAAGTAATTGTTAAAGAAAAGTCAATTAATACCATAAATTAAATTCTTAAATTTATATTTTTATAAGCTATTGAAAATATTCCTCTAATAATAAAAAATTTGGTTTGATTAAACAACCATAAAAAAGTTGTTTCATAATTCTAAATCCTAGAATTTAGTCTTCTAAGCCAAGAATCTTGTTTTAACTCCAGCAAATCTAGTTTCATGAAATCAAGCGCATCCTTTAAATATTTTCTATGCAAAACTTCATCACCTCTTTATACATGCAGTTTAGTAAATTAACCAACCAAATTAATACCCTAACTAAATGCGTACCTATAAGACTGAGATATGAACATGATTCAGTTATAGATGTGGATATTCTACTGCCTTGAACATTTGTTACTAATATTATTGTGAAAAAGTTGGTTTGTTTGTAATGTATATCAATTATGCCATTAAAGTATTTAAACTAATTGGTTATATGAGGGAAAATCGATTTCTATATGATTTAAACTCGTTGTCTTACCTGAGAGTCAATGGCAATTAAAGAAAAGGTCAACTCAAAAACTTTCTAATCCTCATATTATTAATACAAATTGTCCTAAAAAGACAAAAGTAGTTGTAAGTCAGGCACTGGAATTGATATTTATAATAGCGCTTGGAAACTTTGTATCAGTGCTGTTTTAACATCTTAAATTTTTCTAAAAAAAATCTAATTGCAGCTTTCCATTAAATTTCTCATTCACAACATATTAATTCATTAACTAATTCATTATTTATGATGCACCCTTTGCTTCAACTAAATATACTTCTTCTATTCTCTAAGATAGATTCAGCAGCTCTTTAACTCCTAAATTGCAATATGTTCGATCGAAGTTCCTTTTGGAATACTTTATATAATGTGCAGGCTATCTACGAATTGCTGATAATATGAGTTGCCCATAATTCAAGCTTTTCAGACCATTGAAACTTCTGAGGATGTTACATATTATGTCTTAATTATAGAACTCTTTCAAGACAGTTAAGTATGTGTGTGAAAAATTTATAGATTGATTAAAATATTGTACATCCCAGCAATCTTAAATGATCGATTTGTGAATGCAGTTCCATAAACTATCCTGATAGCAATATATGTGAGTCATATATGACTATAATGCTGCCTTCCTTAACATCTGGCTTCATGAGAGATTTAAACAATTTCTACTACCTATTGCTTCTTACATTCAGTTAATGTCATCACCTATCTTGATAGCTACTTTTTATCAAAGCTATAATATTTCCCACCTTGATGCTCACTGCATAATCAGATACAGAAAATACAAAAACCCTTGTATTTGATTTAATCCTCCTTTATACCTTTAACCTTTCACTTTACTAATGTATTGAAGTTAATATACTAAACTCTTGCTCCTTTAGACATCTTTGAACTTATATAAGTTGTAAGTTTTATTGCAGAATTAGATATAATGATCAAAAAACATGTTTGCATTAAAATATATTATTGGTTAGTTGATGTAACATTAGAAATCAAAAATTTCTTTATAGGAATTGTCTTTTTTTAAAATGTTAAAACCGATCCAACATTATTGGCTATAAATATATAATTTAAATAATTTATTATGATTTGGTATTTAGCTTTGTATTATTCAACTATTTAAATACTAATACAAACACATATTATTCAAAAAGTTATAAGAAAATGATTAAAATTATAATTGTAAAGTTTATTATGAATATTCAAATTCACTATTGCTTTAAATATTCTAAAAAGCAACTTCCTTTGGATTTAAACAATGGTTTTAAATCTATCCCTTAATAATTCATTAATTGTCCTTAAAGGATAAGTGTCCCTGATATTTCTAACTAAGAATTTTAACATATTCTAAGTATTGTAAAATAAGGATTAACTAAATAATAAATAATAATAAATACCATTTGGCAAAAAGGAGCTATTCTGAAGTGGCATATTAAACTGGGCAAGCAAATCTTTTTAGCTACTATCTGATTGAAGTATTTCCTTTTTGATGTTTGTACATTCCGAAGACGGATAGAGTTATCATGACTACCATATGCTAATGTATTTCCATCAGGGGAGAAATTGACTGAATTATGTGTTGATGAATGACCATCTAATTTGGCTTTTTATTATCCTGTCTTAAAATCCCATATACAGGTAAAGTTATATGCACTTCCAGATACAAATTTATTTCCATCAGAAGAGTAACAAATTGTATAAACTGCACTTGAATGATCATCTATGTTGGCTTTTTATTATACTTGCATCATGAAGTGTCTATTTCTTCAATATATTTGTATGATTTCTCAAGAGTTGATTCTTAAAAATGATAATATATTATATGATTAATATTAATCACTTTCATCGTTTTTATAATTCCATTTCGTTCTCTAAAATGATACTTCCTCTTTATTTAAATAATGTCCTCAAGTCGATGCCCGATTGATTACTAAATTCTCCTCTCAAAATAAGAGCTCCTTAAGATTAAAATCTAAGCTATTGTGATATTAGAAGAATAGTGATAATCGATGAAACTAAATAATAATAGATAATTAATACCATTATTTTCAATCAAGTTGTTGTTAAAAATTGGAGTTTAAAATTATGCTAAAATGTTTTTATATCGATTGTTTGACGAGACGATTTCTTCTCCTGTCTTAACATCCCATAAACGGATAGACTTATCTCCACTACCAGATGCTAATGTAGTACCATCAGGAGAGTAACAAATTGTATTAACAGTATTTGAATGACCATCTAATTTGGCTTTTTATTATCCTGTCTTAACATCCCATAAACGGATAGAGTTATCTACACTACCAGATGCTAATGTAGTACCATCAGGAGAGTAACAAATTGAATTAACATAATGTGAATGACCATTAAATTTGGCTTTTTATTATCCTGTCTTAACATCCCATAAACGGATAGACTTGTCCCAACTACCAGATGCTAATGTAGTACCAATTCCTATTTGAGATGCTTGGATAAACAATTCTAGGGGATAATTGTTAGAAATTTAATTGACAAGAGATTTTTGATTATGTTGAAAAACATGATTTTCGAAATCAATAGGTTTTAAATTAATCATAAATTAAAAGATTTCTATTTATAAGGATTACGTTGGCTAGAGAATAGAGTAATTAAATCAGGGGTGCGATTATTTGTCTCAAGCACCAACACTTATAATTCTAAGCGATATATCAAAATTTTAGTGAAACTTATTTTAAAGTTTTATATTTGATTAGTGATTACTGGTAAATGGCCATATTAATAATTCAACATCCTTCAGTATTAAATTTTTTAAGGATACATATAGTATAAATTTTGTGAGGCAAGAGATGAAGTTATATATCAATTAATCATGAATTAGTTAGATTGATCACACTTTTGTGTAAGATGAATTTATTACAGATATAAATTCAAATTTTTATTCGTAGTATTTAGAATATTCAATATTTTAATTGCCAGAACTGCAGCAAATTATGAATGTCTTCAGCAACTAATAGAAGAATGTATACAATAAAAAGCAGCCATATAATCGCGGATTAATTTCAATTATACTTTAAAGTAGATCAATCTCGAATTCGAAAAATCAAATTAGATGTATTGAATTTCTTACAATCATTTTATTCGATTTCTAAATTTTCGGAATATATTCTATAGTTATATTGTTTAGTTAGCAATCCATGAATTTTAATACTTCCCTGTATCATTTGCTGAGCTTTCCTTTAGCAACTTTATTTAATTTATCCTCAAATTTAGCAAAGTAATTTTTCCTTTTTTCACAATTAAATGATGTGCTTCTTTTAACTTGCAGTGCTTTGATAGTCCCATTTTATGTTTGGAGTCCATTGCGGCTATTAATAATTGCTGAGCGCTTATATCATGTATCAAATCATAAAGTTTTTCTTCATCCATTGACATCTAAATCAACATTTTGCTTCTTATGTATTAAAATATAATGCCTAATTGATTTTATTGCTTTCCATAAATTTTCAAATGCCTCCTTTATTTAAAGAGATTGGGTTTGCTGTATCATACCTAAAAACCATAATATTACTTGTCTCCTTTGTTCTATTATAATGGTGATTTGGTGTAAGTTCTATTATTCTGGTTGTGAGAAATGTATATCTTGAACAGAGTAATTTGGATGTCCATATTATTAATAACACTTCAAGACATGTGTTTGAACTTTTATTCGTTGTCAAAAGATATTCCTAATCAAAATCCTCTTCATGGTATATCTTTTTTGACACATGAATTGCATCTGAATGTTAAACATAATTGGGGTATATGAAGTATCAGAGGCAACAGAACTTTGAATGCATTTCTACCATTAAAAACTATTTTTAAAATTTAATGCATGCACTTGAATTGTACACCTTATACATAGGTAGTGTATGAACTTAAAATCCTTGATGTTATAACTAACAATAGAGTTCTCATATCAATTCGCACTGCCATCTACAGATACATAAAATGTGCATGATCGAGCAAATTCTAGATATAATAAGTGATTTAAGTGCACTACTTCTTATGTACTAATTGTAGGACTGGTCTTTGCATGTCAGATTTCTATAGAAATTACTTTTCACTGTAAAAATTATAAATGATACTTTTTGTTTCACTACTTCTCATTTGAATTCATTAATATCATTTAATATCAAACTTCCTTTAGATTGTAATTATGGTTTTAGATCCTGCCTTAATAATTTTCAAATACTCCTTTCAAAATTAAAGCTCCTAAAACTTCCAAAGTAAACATATTTTTAGTATTGTACGATCATATTCGGCTAAAGCATGATATAAATAAATAAAATTTCTTAAAACGAATTGCTTTGAATGTGGCAGGTTAAACGAAGAAAGAAGGTCTTTGTAACAATTGTTTTTGACATCTCAAAAATACTATATATTTTAATAATATTAAACTAAAATGTTTTAAGAAGTTTTTAAGAAATGAAGATCAAGAATTGAGTCAAAAAACAAAAGTTCTAAGAGATGATTAAAATTGTATGTGTTAAATGACTTTTCAAATTCGCTTTTGCATTAAGTCCTCTAAAAAGCAACTTCCTTTGGATTTAAACAATGGTTTTAAATCTTTACCTTAATGATTAATGAACTGTCCTTATAGGACAAGTGTTCCTGATGCTTCTAAAATAGGATTCTAGCATATTCTAAGTATTGTACGATCAGAATTAACTAAATAATAATTAATAATAAATACCATTCGGTAATAAGGTGCTATTCTGAAGTGGTATGTTAAACTAGGCAAGCAAATCTTTATAGCTACTAACTGATTGAAGTATTTCCTTTGATGTTTTTACATTCCAAAGTCGGATAGAGTTATCATCACTACCAGAAGCTAGTGTATTTCCATCAGGGAAGAAATTGACTGAATAAACTGTTGATGAATAACCATCTAAGTTGGTTTTTTGTTATCCT